ATACTATACTACTACTGTACAGTACACAGGTTATACTACTATTTTACAGTACACAGATTATACTATACTACTACTGTACAGTACACGGGTTATACTATACTACTACTGTACAGTACACAGGTTATACTACTATTTACAGTAACAGATTATACTATACTACTACTGTACAGTACACAGGTTATACTATACTACTGTACAGTACACAGGTTATACTATACTACTACTGTACAGTACACAGGTTATACTACTACTTTACAGTACCGGGTTATAGTACTACTTACAGTACAGATTCTATACTACTACTGTACAGTACATGGGTTATACTATACTACTACTGTACAGTACACGGGTTAAACTACTATTTTACAGTACACAGATTATACTATACTACTACTGTACAGTACACAGGTTATACTATACTACTACTGTACAGTACACAGGTTATACTACTATTTTACAGTACACAGATTATACTATACTACTACTGTACAGTACACAGGTTATACTATACTACTACTGTACAGTACACGGGTTATACTATACTACTACTGTACAGTACACAGGTTATACTACTATTTTACAGTACACAGATTATACTATACTACTACTGTACAGTACACGTTATACTATACTACTACTGTACAGTACACAGGTTATACTACTATTTTACAGTACACAGATTATACTATACTACTACTGTACAGTACACGGGTTATACTATACTACTGTACAGTACACAGGTTATACTACTATTTTACAGTACACAGATTATACTATACTACTACTGTACAGTACACAGGTTATACTATACTACTACTGTACAGTACACGGTTATACTATACTACTACTGTACAGTACAGGGTTAAACTACTATTTTACAGTACACAGATTATACTATACTACTACTGTACAGTACATGGGTTAAACTACTATTTTACAGTACACAGATTATACTATACTACTACTGTACAGTACACAGGTTATACTATACTACTACTGTACAGTACACGGGTTATACTATACTACTACTGTACAGTACACAGGTTATACTACTATTTTACAGTACACAGATTATACTATACTACTACTGTACAGTACACGGTTATACTATACTACTACTGTACAGTACACAGGTTATACTACTATTTTACAGTACACAGATTATACTATCTACTACTGTACAGTACACAGGTTATACTATACTACTACGTACAGTACACAGGTTAAACTACTATTTACAGTACACAGATTATACTATAACTACTACTGTACAGTACACAGGTTATACTATACTACTACTGTACAGTACACAGGTTATACTACTATTTTACAGTACACAGATTATACTATACTACTACTGTACAGTACACAGGTTATACTATACTACTACTGTACAGTACACGGGTTATATACTACTACTGTACAGTACACAGGTTATACTACTATTTTACAGTACACAGATTATCTATACTACTACTGTACAGTACACGGGTTATACTATACAACTACTGTACAGTACACAGGTTATACTACTATTTTACAGTACACAGATTATACTATATCTACTGTACAGTACACGGGTTATACTATACTACTACTGTACAGTACACAGGTTATCTACTATTTACAGTACACAGATTATACTATACTACTACTGTACAGTACACAGGTTATACTATACTACTACTGTACAGTACACGGTTATACTATCTACTACTGTACAGTACACAGGTTATACTACTATTTTACAGTACACAGATTATACTATACTACTACTGTACAGTACACGGGTTTATACTACTATTTTACAGTACACAGATTATACTATACTACTACTGTACAGTACACGGGTTATACTATACTACTACTGTACAGTACACAGGTTATACTACTATTTTACAGTACACAGATTATACTATACTACTACTGTACAGTACACAGGTTATACTATACTACTATGGGTTATACTATACTACTACTGTACAGTACACAGGTTAAACTACTACTACTGTACAGTACACGGGTTATACTATACTACTACTGTACAGTACACAGGTTATACTACTACTTTACAGTACACAGGTATACTATGCTACTACTGTACAGTACACAGGTTAAACTATACTACTACTGTACAGTACACGGGTTATACTATACTACTACTGTACAGTACAACAGGTTATTCTACTACTTTACAGTACACAGGTTATACTATACTACTACTGTACAGTACACAGTTATACTACTATTTTACAGTACACAGATTATACTATACTACTACTGTACAGTACACAGGTTATACTATACTACTATGGGTTATACTATACTACTACTGTACAGTACACGGTTAAACTATCTACTACTGTACAGTACACGGGTTATACTATACTACTACTGTACAGTACACAGGTTATACTACTACTTTACAGTACACAGGTTATACTATGCTACTACTGTACAGTACACGGTTATACTATACTACTACTGTACAGTACACAGGTTATACTACTATTTTACAGTACACAGATTATACTATACTACTACTATACAGTACATGGATTATATACTACTACTGTACAGTACACAGGTTATACTACTACTTTACAGTACACAGGTTATGTAGATGTACTACTGTACAGTACACAGGTTATGTAGATGTACTACTGTACAGTACCAGGTTATATAGATGTACTACTGTAGAGTACACAATTTATATAGATGTACTACTATTCAATTTGGACATTTTCATTTAGGGGTGTCCTCACTGTTGTTGCCAGCGGTTTAGATTAAAATAATTAATGGCTGTGTGATGTGTTATTTTGAGGGGACAGCAGATTTAAACTGTTCTACAGCTGCACGCTCACTACTTTACACTGTTCTACAAGCTGTACGCTCACTACTTACACTGTTCTACAAGCTGTACGCTCACTACTTTACACTGTTATACAAGCTGCACGCTCACTACTTTACACTGTTATACAAGCTGCACGCTCAACTTTACACTGTTACACAATGCCTGCTTTACACTGTTATACAAGCTGCACGCTCACTACTTTACACTGTTATACAAGCTGCACTGCTTTACACTGTTATACAAGCTGCACGCTCACTACTTTACACTGTTTACAAGCTGCACGCTCACTACTTTACGCTGTTCTACAAGCTGCACGCTCACTACTTTACGCTGTTCTACAAGCTGCACGCTCACTACTTTACGCTGTTCTACAAGCTGCACTGCTTTACACTGTTATACAAGCTGCACGCTCACTACTTACACTGTTATACAAGCTGCACGCTCACTACTTTACGCTGTTCTACAAGCTGCACGCTCACTACTTTACGCTGTTCTACAAGCTGCACTGCTTTACACTGTTATACAAGCTGCACGCTCACTACTTTACCCTGTTATACAAGCTGCACGCTCGCTACTTTACGCTGTTATACAAGCTGTACGCTAACTACTTTACGCTGTTCTACAAGCTGCACGCTCACTACTTTACGCTGTTCTACAAGCTGCACTACTTTACACTGTTATACAAGCTGCACGCTCACTACTTTACCCTGTTATACAAGCTGCACGCTCACTACTTTACACTGTTATACAAGCTGTACGCTCACTACTTTACGCTGTTCTACAAGCTGCACTACTTTACACTGTTATACAAGCTGCACGCTCACTACTTTACACTGTTATACAAGCTGCACGCTCTCTACTTTACACTGTTATACAAGCTGTACGCTCACTACTTTACGCTGTTCTACAAGCTGCACGCTCACTACTTTACACTGTTATACAAGCTGCACGCTCACTACTTTACGCTGTTCTACAAGCTGCACTGCTTTACACTGTTATACAAGCTGCACGCTCACTACTTTACACTGTTATACAAGCTGCACGCTCACTACTTTACGCTGTTCTACAAGCTGCACGCTCACTACTTTACACTGTTATACAAGCTGCACGCTCACTACTTTACGCTGTTCTACAAGCTGCACTGCTTTACACTGTTATACAAGCTGCACGCTCACTACTTTACACTGTTATACAAGCTGTACGCTCACTACTTTACACTGTTATACAAGCTGCACGCTCACTACTTTACACTGTTATACAAGCTGTACGCTCACTACTTTACGCTGTTCTACAAGCTGCACTGCTTACACTGTTATACAAGCTGCACGCTCACTACTTTACACTGTTACACAAGCTGCACTGCTTTACACTGTTATACAAGCTGCACGCTCACTACTTTACACTGTTATACAAGCTGCACTGCTTACACTGTTATACAAGCTGCACGCTCACTACTTTACACTGTTATAACAAGCTGCACGCTCACTACTTTACGCTGTTCTACAAGCTGCACGCTCACTACTTTACACTGTTATACACGGCTACGCTCACTACTTTACACTGTTATACAAGCTGCACGCTCACTACTTTACACTGTTATACAAGCTGTACGCTCACTACTTTACGCTGTTCTACAAGCTGCACTGCTTTACACTGTTATACAAGCTGCACGCTCACTACTTTACACTGTTATACAAGCTGCACGCTCACTACTTTACGCTGTTATTTACGCTGTTATACAAGCTGTACGCTCACTACTTTACACTGTACAAGCTGCACGCTCACTACTTTACACTGTACAAGCTGCACGCTCACTACTTTACACTGTTATACAAGCTGCACGCTCACTACTTACACTGTTATACAAGCTGCACGCTCACTACTTTACACTGTTATACAAGCTGCACGCTCACTACTTTACACTGTAGGAAAGTGTCATTTCTTCAGTGTTTCACATGAAAAGATAGAATCACATGTTTACAGAGATGTGAGGTTGGACTCACTTTGTGAGATGCTGTAAAATGTAGTTCAAACTAATTTAGATGGATGATGATTTCCTGTTTCCTGTCTAAACGTTGTTGGTTGTTGTTCACCTGAACATCTCACCTGTTCCACTGCTTCATGATCAATGAGGTCACTTCCTGTCTTCACTACAGGACAAAGAGTTTTATTTCAGACTGTTTCACACAAACACAAACATCACAGCGTGAAGGTAATCAATAGGTATATCAGGGTCTCTGTCCTGATGGGGGTCGGGGTCACCCGGATCCAGGAGTCAGATACAGTTTGTTGTAGGCCGATGAGTTCTCAGGAGAACCGATCACTTCTTCTCCTCCTTCCTCTCCTCGCTCCTCCTCTTCTTCACCTCCTTCAGTCCCTCCTGGATCTGGTCCACAGCCTCCTGGTCTCCGGCCTGCCGAGCCAGACTCAGAGCCTCCTGGTAGAGCCGCACTGAGTCCTCCAGCTGGCCTGAAGGACCACAGAGAACATCAGACCAGGTGAGACCAGATCAAACCAGGTCAAACCAGGTCAGACTAGGTGAGACCTGGTGAGACCAGGTGAGACCAGTCATGACCTCTCCTAACCTTTGTGCAGCAGAATGCCGGCCATGTTTCCCAGCAGCACGTGCTGGTCCGGGTGTCCGGCGGAGCGGCTCAGATCCACGGCCTGCTGGACCAGCGCCAGGGCGTCGTCATGGCGACCCTGCAGATCCAAGATGGTGGCCAGGTCGCTCATCAGCACCAGAGTCTGACAGGAGACACGATGAGGTCATCATTTTAGATCACCCGTGTGTCTACCTGGGGTGTGTCTCTACCTGGGGGGGTGTCTCTCTACCTGGGGGTGTCTCTCTCCCTGGCGGGGGGTGTCTCTACCTGGCGGGGGGTGTGTGTCTCCCTGGGGGTGTGTGTCTCTCCCTGGGGGTGTGTCTCTCCCTGGGGGTGTGTGTCTCTACCTGGGGGTGTCTCTCTCCCTGGGGGGGTGTCTCTCCCTGGGGGTGTGTGTCTCTACCTGGGGGTGTGTGTCTCTACCTGGGGGTGTCTCTCTCCCTGGGGTGTGTCTCTCCTGGGGGTGTGTCTCTACCTGGGGTGTGTGTCTCTACCTGGGGGGTGTCTCTCTCCCTGGGGGTGTGTCTCTACCTGGGGGGGGGGTGTCTCCCTGGGGGGTGTCTCTACCTGGGGGGGGGGGTGTCTCTCCCTGGGGGGGTGTCTCTCCCTGGGGGGTGTGTCTCTACCTGGGGGGGGGGTGTCTCCCTGGGGGGGTGTCTCTACCTGGGGGGGGGGGTCTCTCCCTGGGGGGTGTGTCTCTACCTGGGGGGGGTGTCTCCCTGGGGGGGTGTCTCTACCTGGGGGGGTGTCTCTCTCCCTGGGGGGTGTGTCTCTACCTGGGGGGGTGTCTCCCTGGGGGGTGTCTCTACCTGGGGGGGGGGGTGTCTCTCCCTGGGGGGGTGTCTCTCCCTGGGGGGTGTCTCCTGGGGGTGTGTCTCTACCTGGCGGGGTGTCTCCCTGGGGGGTGTCTCTCCCCCTGGGGGGGTGTCTCCTGGCGGGGTGTCTCCCTGGGGGGTGTCTCTCCCTGGGGGGGTGTCTCTACCTGGGGGTGTGTCTCTACCTGGGGGTGTGTCTCTCCCTGCTCCTGGCGGCAGATGTTCAGGGCGTTCTGGTAGTCCTGTCCGGCCTGCTTCAGGTGCAACGTTGAAGCTCGGTATCGAGCCCGCGAGTCCAAACACAGACCGAGCAGGAGGCGGGTCTCCTTCCTCAGATCTTCCTGCTCCTCTAAGACAACAACGACAACAACAACATGTCAGTCTCAGACGCTCTGACCTGCAGAGGATCAGGTTTCAGGTCTCATATCAGAGAAACACCTGAGCATCACTGCCCTGATGCCTCGGCTCACCTGTCCGCTCCTCTGCAGGGACCTCCTTCTGTTTCTCCAGTTTGGCCTCCAGGACTCCGTACAGAACCTGAACCCGTGCTCTGCAAGCTCCGCCCTCAACACACACACACACACACACACAGTCACTCCTCTGGCAGCTCAGAGGTCAGAGGTCAGAGGTCGAGAGCTGAACAGGTGAGTCTGGTTCTTACTTGCTCTGCTCGGCGTAGATGGTGGCGAGCTTCAGAGACATCTCGATGACAGCGTTGTCGTCCTGGAAACAGACAGGAAGTCAGCGAAGATTGAAACAGCTGACTGAAGACACACACACACACACACACACCTGTGGAGTTCCTCCCGACAGCATGAAGCTCATCGCCGCCTTGAAGAGTTTCTCTGCCTGAGAGGAGGAAGACGAAGAGACATGAAGAACACGTTAACCACACGTTGACATTAATTTCAGTTTTATTTATATAACACCAAATCACACACAGTTATCTCACAGCGCTTTTCATAAAGAGCAGGTCTAGACCGTACTCTGTGATGCTAAATATTAATAAGATGAGCCGTGATTGGGGGACTCACGTGCTCCAGCTGACCCTGAACGTAGGCCAGATTCGCCATCTGAGGAAACAAAGGGGTCAAAGGTCACACAGCAGCACCTGTGAACAGCTGCAGAGGTCAGAGGTCACTGTGAGCAGGCGTTTACCAGACTGTAGGTGTAGATGATGGCCTGGTGTTGTGGGTCTGATGAGCCAGAACCACGGCCTGATGGAGGAAACCAGAGGCGGCCTGCAGCTGCCCCCGATATATACTGAGCTGGGAGAGGACAGGGACACGTTACTACTGCAGTACTACTACTAATACTACTACAGTACTAATGCTGGTGCCTCTACAGTTACTGGTCTTAGTACCTTGGCCTTCTTCAGCAGCAGGATCATTTCATCCTCTTTCTGCTGGGCTTCATCTCGTTGGTCTTCATCAGTACTGCCGAACAGGGAAAAAGCTGATGGCGTGCACGCACACACACACACACACACACACACACACACACACACACACAGATAAAAAATAAGGAAGTCTTAAATCTGCAGATTTCTGACTGGAGTTTGGTGTAAAAGCATTAAAGTTGTAAAATAATAGATTATGCAAATGAGGGATAAAGAAGTGTTGCATGTTTTTGTGACTCTACGTACCGACTGCCGCCACAGCACTCTTCCTCTTCCTCCTCCTCCACTCTGTGAGCTCTGGAAAGTTGTACCAATGAACTCACAGCTGCTTACTTTTACCCAGCATGCCGAGCGCGTCCCCTGCACAGACTCCGGAGTCACAGCCGCCGCTCTGCAGCCTGATGGTTGGATTTGACATAATTATAATAAAAAAGAAAAGACAACGAGCCGTGAAACAGGTCAGTGAACGCAACATGGAGCCTGTAATACCAACAGCTGCCAGCAGGTGTCGCAGTTTGACCGCAACAAGCGCCTCAACTACGTCTTTAGTTCATATTATTTTATTATTATTATTATTATTAAGGGGTTTTTGTTTAATTTAATTCAGTTTCAGCACCGTATCTATCTAGAGAGAAGATAAAATAAAACTGGAATGATTACTGACAGATCTGCAGGTCGTCTCTGGACCTGTACCGGTCTGTGACCCAGTGCCCGGTTCGGGCGGAACCCGGACCTGCACGCGGGACTCACCTGCCGTCCAGGTGAGTCTGACACAAACTGACCTTCCAGCTGAGATCTGTCTCACGTTTCCTCCTGGACACCTGAACCTGAGACAGCGCGACGCACACAGCAGGCCGCCATCTTCACTGTTTACATCACGACGGAAGTCACGAGGTGTGACTCCTGACCTTCACAATAAAAGCAGCGGAAGTAAAACGTTTATTTAGACGCTTTAGATAAATGTTTCACAAAACCAAGATAGCGGATTAAGTCTGGATATCCCAGATATCCTGAGTGGGTTTTTCCCAGTCACTCCCTGTTCTCCTGTTTGTTTCACATGTTTTCCATCAGCCTGCATTAAAACAGCAGTTTGTGCTTCTTACTAAGGTTTCATCTTTGGAGGAGCGCGCACATGTAAAGGAAAATGATAAAGAAAAGGAAAAGTAACTCGGGCACAGTAATAAGAAAGTGTGAGAGGCTAAAAATATCACAGCTCTTAAGTGACAGAACTGTGATGTTAGATCGTGCCTGAAAAATGAAATGTAGGCACACGCGCACTTTACAGGAGCTATAAATCATTTTCATTAGCTTTCATAATTGTATAAAACTCCCAAATTCCAGGCCCACTTCAGTACGGAGGCTATAATGTGCCGAGTCTTCATGAAACAACAGGGAGGGATGTTTTTCCTCCCTGGGATCATCTGCTGGGAGAGAAAACAATGATTAATACATCGTGCTACAGTCACGTGTGCTTTGCAGTGATCGCCTCTCTTTCCTCAGTGCTTCTTTTTAAATCCACATCTACTCCTGTTTTTATTTAGTTAATTTGTTCAAGTGTGTGCAGTTCAGACATCAGTTTGTAAAAGACATTCATTAGCACAGCAGGAAGTGTTGACCTGATAGACTGGCTGTCAGACTGCAGGACTGCAGCCTCAAGTTAAAAACATCATACAGTATTTTCATTGTTGCTGGTTCCTGCATTATATTATTATATTTTGAATTATCACCTGCCAGCTGAATTTTGTGTTTCTTTTTATATGAAATAGACATTTCCACCACAAACTGGTGCAGAATATTTCTCCAGAAATCAGAAAATTAAGTGTTTAATGTTCAAAACCATCTGACAGTCCTCCCACTCATGTTTCCAACAGTTACTTTTCTATCTGTATATGTACACATATATACACACAATACCATGAGGAAAAGAAACACTTTATATACTGCTGCTCTATAAATACAATTTAATTGAATAGACAGCAGATGTTGATCAGTGGTTGTAATTATTTGCTGAGTGACACATTAAGGTCCACTGCTCCCTTCATGGTAACGTTATAATTATGAGCTACTTACTCATCAAGTCGTCTCTCTGTTTTAATAATGTCTCGTGTTTCTTTCTTTACTTATTCTTAATATATGTGCATTTTTCATCATAAACCTTCTTTACACACGGTGAGTAACGGCCAATAAAGTACGCCGCACACGACGTTCATGGCTCTCAGCATCAGTGAATCTGTGATCGACCGCGTGGTCTCTGATCTGAATTACTTCCCCCTCCTCAGCTGGTTTGGCCTTTATGAAGCCAGGACGCTCTGATCACAGCAGGTCCAGCCTGGCTTTATCTCTTATCCTGGATTTCTAAATTCTGCTTGTGAAACAGGCCTCAGGTCTCGGCGTGGCCCCGTTCCTTACTTTGGTTTCTATCCTCCCGCCCAGAAATACTTTGACTTTACTTTATACTCTTCATACGAACGTGGATTTTCTTCCAGACTTCCCCAAAGACACTAAAGGTCTGTGAAACCAAAGTCTATACACCGTGTGTTTTATTAGTTTTCTCCTTGTCGTCTTTGTAAATAAGACGTTAAAATGGCCGTTTATCCTCCAGATGATGGACAGACTGAGGACACTTTGTTCTGTACAGTGTTTTTATTGATAAACACAACGTGACCATGAGTTCACAGGTTTGATTTCACTGCAGAGCTCCTGGAACCAAAAACCATCACAAAGAATGTCGACGTGAGACCAGAGGACCGGGTCGCTCGCAGGTCCAACGGGTCCTTACAGCTGCGTCCGCCGACAGGTCGCATCTTAGTTTAAATGTGGCGCAGATCAGACCGAAGCGTCACACGCAGCACGCTGTCGTACGGAGGTAAACACGCACCCGGCGGGGGATTTCAGGTGGAGGAAAGAATCTGGGAGCAGGTGACGGCGAGGACGAGCAGAAACATCCTGGCGTCGTCGCTCACCGCCGCTCCGTGAACTCCGATCAACCCGACTGGATCTGATCCGGACCTCTTATTCAAAACACGACCTCAGTCTGGACGCCAGATAGTCTTATTTTGTGTTCAACAACCTTGCCTCTGATTGGTTAGTGCTCCGCGTGGCGTGCACGCTACCTGTCAGGTGGAAAGAGAGTTGTGGGCCGATACTCGCTGTACAGAACCAGAAATGAGACGGACAGAAAGTTGCGAGCGTTTGTCATAAATCCGGAGACATGTGACCCAGGAGGGTTAGCGGGTAGGAGCTAACGGGGGCGAACCTCTGCGGCTACACGTTTGTGACAGCGTGCTGCGCGTGACGTCACTTTCAGGCTGTGACGGTCATTCAGGCGCGCAGAGTGAACGCAGCGTCAGTGTTAGAGACTTCCTGTCGCTGCCTCTTTGATCGTCAGGACGATAACGAGTCCTTCGTGGTCAAAAAGCTACAGACGTCCTGCTGATTCAGTCGTCACGCTCTTTGTAACACCTGCCGGCCAATCAGGTCAATACGTTCCAGATCTATGACACGTGGCGCTCTGAGGTCAGAGGTGAGCCGCTGGACCGTAACGCCACCAAACCTGAAGTGCTTCACGTGTTTGTTTTAACACCGACTTTAAACCTCCCGGCGCTCTTCTTCTTCTGTGGTGTTTCTGCCTGCAGCTTCAGAACTTCTTAGTGTTTGTTCTCTTTTACATAAAAGCAGAGCGGAGAGGAGCAGGAGGAGGAGCAGGAGGAGGAGCAGGAGGAGGAGTTTAAATCATTTCTATAACAGAACACAACAAAACCATGAAGAAGTGATCACAAAACAAAGTTTCTGTAAAGCAGCTTCAAAAACCCGAAACCGACAGAAAATCATGTCATCGTTAGCTGAGCACCAAACCTTTCTGACACTGTGGCCCCCAGCAGCACGACTGTGGCCCCAGCAGCACGACTGTGGCCCCCAGCAGCACGACTGTGGCCCCGCAGCACGAGCTGCAGCTGTTAGCAGTCAGCTCTCACTGAGACTCTGCAGGGACGTTCTGCAGCGTCTCTCTGGGTTCTGACTTAGTTCTGGACCCTCAGAGGGCCTGATGAAGATTCAACACGTGTTCAGCGCCCCCTGCGGACGCCCGACAGTAACTACCCTCCTGCATGCACCCTGCAGCGTCTGCGCTTCGCCTCTCGGGCCGACCCCGCCGTGGCCCCGCTCACTCGGCCGGCTGGTGGTCGGTGAACCTCTTCAGGTGGTAGCGCAGCACTCCTTTGGTCTTGAAGGTCTTGCCGCAGCTGCAGGCGTGCGGCCGCTCGCCCGTGTGGTCGCTGGTGGACCCGCAGCAGCGAGCTGGTGAAGAAGAACTCCCCGCAGGTGATGCAGTAGTGGCTCTTCTCGCCGGTGTGTTTGGACCTCTGGTGGCTCAGCAGCGAGCCCGACGTGATGAAGCTCTGGCCGCACTCCCGGCAGCTGAAGGGGCGCTCGCCGGTGTGGATCCTCTCGTGGGCCCTCCAGGAGTTGTGGTAGGAGAAGGACTTCTCGCAGTAGGAGCACTGGTACAGCTTCTCCTTGGTGTGGCTCAGCGGTGCATCTTCAGGTAGTGGGCGATGGTGAAGCTCTTCCCGCAGTCGTCGCAGGTGAACGGCTTCTCGCCCACGTGGAACAGCGTGATGTGGGACCTCAGGTGGGACGACTGGGTGAACCTCTTCCGCAGGTGGTGCACAGGAAGGGCCGCTCCCCGGTGTGGGTGACCATGTGAGACTTGAGGTGGGCGACTGGGTGAACCTCTTGCCGCACTCGGTGCACTTGTAGGGCTTCAGGCCCGTGTGGGTGCGGTTGTGCAGCTTCAGGCCCTGCAGGCTGGAGAAGCACTTGCCGCACTCGGTGCAGTGGTAGTCCCTCAGGTCCTCGTGGGTCCTCTGGTGGCACCGCAGGCCGCTCAGCAGCTTGAAGCCTTTGCCGCAGGTGGGGCACTTGTGGGGCTTCCTGTTGGAGTGGGTCACCTGGTGCAGCTTCAGACTCTGGGGGTTGCTGAAGGTCTTCTTGCACTTCAGGCAGGGCAGCAGCTTCTGGCTCTTGTGGGACTTGCGGTGGAAGTTGAAGCCCTGGTAGGAGACGAACATCTTGTCGCAGACTTTGCAGTGGTAGCACTTCTCCCCCTCGTGCACCTCCAGGTGCTCGGTGAGCTCGTCCTGCTCGCTGAAGCCGTCCCGCAGAACCAGCACTTGAAGGGTTTGGTCCCCGAGTGCGTCCGGTGGTGGGTTTTCCAGTCCCTTCAGGGCGAAGGTCTTCTCGCAGTAGGAGCACCGGTAGGGCTCCTTGCGGTCGTGGATCTGCTGGTGCACCACGAGGCTCATCAGGGTCGGGTAGGCTTCCCGCACTGCCAGCACTGGTTGGGTTCCTGTCCCCGGTGGGTTCTCCGGTGAGCCTCCAGGTGAGACCTTTGTAGAACCCTCTCTGACACTCGGAGCAGTACACCATCTTTCTGCCGGTGTTGGTCGCGTGGATCTGCCTCTGGTGGCAGAGCTGAGGGGCTCGTCTGTAGGGGTCAGAGGTCAGAGGTCAGAAACCCAGAGTTCTCTAAATCAAAAGGTCGCAAATATATCTCTCAAGAGACAGGAAGTCCCGCCCATCCAGCAACGCCCTGCAGTCGGTCAGTTTGACGACGCTTCTTGAGGACCGGATACGACTGGATCTCCACCGCCGTCCGGCTCCAGTTTGATCCGGACGTCTCAGCTGCGTCCTGAAAAACAAGCAGACGGTCAACGGGTCGTCCGCTGAACTCCAAAGAGCTCATCGCTAATATAACGCTGCGGCGAATCATCCATCAGCGGCAGAATATTAAAGTCATCGATCAGGATTCCCGCTTCGGAAATCTGAGGATTTCCTGGTTTCTTTGCTCGTCTGTGACGGTGACCTGAAAATCTTGGCGTTTGAGAACGCCACGTTGGCGTTTGAGGACGCCACGTTGGCGTTTGAGGACGCCACGTTGGGGTTTGAGGACGCCACGTTGGGTTTGAGGACGCCACGTTGGGGTTTGGGCCACTAATGTTTTCTTGGTCACACCGAACATTTCACAGGACGGTTTTCTCTATCAGTGTGCGTTTCTCCAAAACTCACTGGTGGAAGAAGGTGAATAAAAGTAAAACGGTGCATTTACTGTTGGCTACGGACCAATCACAGCGCAGGCAGCCCGCGTCTCTGTGACGTGTAGTCGGGCTACAGCGTTGGCGTGCAGCAGTCTGTTTATGTTAGTGCTGCTGCAGGTTTCCATCAGAATAAAGTGCTGAAGCTGCTGGAGACGCACCAGTGAACCAGTGAAACCAGCGCAGGGGTCAGACTGGGCTGCAGAATAACGCCACACGTCCGTGTTTGTTTAATCATCAGGTGATCAGCTGCTGATCCACACGTCTGCCAATCTATCTGGTTATTTTGCCTCCTAAGTTGCTGGTGGAAAGTCCGACTATGTTTTGAACGGGTAACGGCGGTGCGGGTGCGGAGTGGCGTGGAAGAGGATTACGGTAGTAATCTTACTCATTACCTTGACAGCAACGCTGCTCTGCACGATTGCTCTAAAGTTGCTCCGCGTATCATCAGCTTAAGAGTTCAGATCAACCTGATAAAGAAAGTTTCTCCCTGAGCCCGACCAGAGTGGAGCCGCTGGGATTTTTCCTGATTGAACTTTTAAATAACTAGATCGTTTCAACGTGTTGAAATCATCTCAAACAGAAACAGAAGCTAATAACTGATCCAGAGTCAGCAGCTGCAGTCTGAACAGGTCAGAATGAGCCGCAGCTGCATCCTGCTGCACTTTAATGACCAGGAGGCAGAAACCGTAACAACATTTTACAGAGTACTGGTGAAGTATTAGTACTATGACTGAAGTAAGGGATCTGAGTGCGAGTGTCAGGAACCAGGACCGCAGGCCTCCACACCAGCCCTCAGCAGGGACACAACCCCAACCGAACTCCATTCAGAATCCGGTCACTTACAGTCTGTCCAGAGACATGCGGCAGATTACCTTCCAGCCCCGTGACTAAAACCAGTTCTTTGGTCCGGCTCGTTCAAACCGAGCCCTGCTTCAGTCCTCACGGTCCGGCAGGCACCAACAGATCCAACTGGATCAGGGTTCTGTTGGTGCCGAACGAACCGGAGGCGGTAAAAACACCTTCAGTCATGTTCGGGTCCGGCGGGGGGGACGTGTGGACCCGGAGCAGCGGGAGGATCTTTTCTGTGCCGGTTTCTAAATGGAGTTCGGCGGCGGGCTGCGGGTTAGCTGCGTTAGCTTAGCGCCGCTAACGGCCCCGGTGTGGAGCTCTCCGGGCGGAGAGAGGAACGGCGGGCGCGCGCTGCGTTTACCGGTGAAGCCGTGTCGGTGTCCATCCCGCCGGTTCCGCTGCTGGATCAACGTGTGTCCGTTAATAACCGGACCGCTGGTCCCGAGAGCGAACAGCTTCTTCTTCTGCGGCTGCTGCAGCCGCGCTTTCTTCTTCTGTGTTTAATGTTGGTCACAGCTGCACCAGCGCCACCTACCGAAGAGCAGCAGCGCCGTCCCGGTTACAGTGAAGGGGGCCGCTGCCCTACAGATCCAGGACTAAGGTCTCAGCACTCTTTTAGGGCCCGAGCACGACCGTGTGAGGTCCCTATTGAATTTGCTCGGATTATTTTTTATTTTTTATTTTTTTATTTTTTCTGCAAAGTAGGCTCAACTGATGGCCTAAACATTCTCGAAAACTCACCAATTTGCAAACATCTCAGAACCGGTGAAAAATTTCGTATTCTACAAGTTTCGCACATGGGCGTTGCAAAATGACTCGCTAGCGCCACCTAGAAAATTGGAAAAAATTAGCCCCTCGTTCACGTTCAACCTACATGTACGAATTTTCTGGGGACATGTATCGTATCAAGACACACAAAAAAGCCTCAAGAACCCATAGCCTAAAGTCAACAGGAAGTCGGCCATTTTGAATTTTACGGCCATTTTTGGATGATTTACACTTCGTACTTTAACGAACTCCTCCTAGGGATTTTGTCGGATCGACGTCAAATTTCTGCTGTGCCTTCTAAAGGCATTGAAGATGAAAAGTTGTGCTATTTGCGAGTTTTCGTCAATGGGCGTGTCCGTGGCGTTGATGATTCGCTATGAAACAGGAAGTTGTTGTAACTTTAGTGTACATGCTCACATCTGGACCAAACTGTACATGTAGGATGAGAGTCCCGCCTGAACACATGTACATGCCGACATTCACCCACAGTCATAGCGCCACCTGCTGGCAACAGAAAGTGACCTTTAACGAAGCAGCCCCCGCCGCACGTTTCACCTACGTGCACGAATTTCTGTGGTACGTGTATCTTGTCCACGCACAAAAAAGTCTCTTGGAGCCATAGCCTAAACCCAACAGGAAGTCGGCCATTTTGAATTTACGTCAAATTTTGGATGATTTACACACTTCGTACTTTAACGAACTCCTCCTAGGGATTTAGTCCGACCGACCTCAAATTTTGCTGTGCCTTCTAAAGGCATTGAAGATGAAAAGTTGTGCTATTTGCAAGTTTTCGTCAATGGGCGTGTCCGTGGCGTGGCGTCAAAGATCAGCTCTTCGCCATGACACGGAAGTTGTCGTAACTTCAGTGTACATGCTCACATCTGGACCAAACTGTACATGTAGGATGAGAGTCCCGCCCTGAACACATGTACATGCTGACATTCACAGACAGTCATAGCGCCACCTGCTGGCAACAGGAAGTGACTTTTAACGAAGCAGCCCCCGCCGCACGTTTTACCTACGTGCACGAATTTTGTGACGTGTATCTTGTCCAGACGCACAAAAAAGCCTCTTGGAGCGATGCCCTAAAATCAACAGGAAGTCGGCCATTTTGAATTTTACGTCAAATTTTGGATGATTTACACACTTCGTACTTTAACGAACTCCTCCTAGGGATTTAGTCCGACCGACCTCAAATTTTGCTGTGCCTTCTAAAGGCATTGAAGATGAAAAGTTGTGCTATTTGCAAGTTTTCGTCATGGGCGTGTCCGTGGCGTGGCGTCAAAGATCAGCTCTTCGCCATGACACGGAAGTTGTCGTAACTTCAGTGTACATGCTCACATCTGGACCAAACTGTACATGTAGGATGAGAGTCCCGCCCTGAACACATGTACATGCTGACATTCACAGACAGTCATAGCGCCACCTGCTGGCAACAGGAAGGACTTTTAACGAAGCAGCCCCCGCCGCACTTTCACCTACGTGCACGAATTTCTGTGGTACATGTATCTTGTCCAGACGCACAAAAAAGCCTCTTGAGCGATGCCCTAAAATCAACAGGAAGTCGGCCATTTTGAATTTACGTCAAATTTTGGATGATTTACACACTTCGTACTTTAACGAACTCCTCCTAGGGATTTAGTCCGACCGACTTCAAATTTGTGCTGTGCCTTCTAAAGGCATTGAAGATGAAAAGTTGTGCTATTTGCGAGTTTTCGTCAATGGGTGTGTCCGTGGCGTGGCGTCAGAGATCAAGTCTTCGCCATGACACAGGAAGTTGTTGTAACTTCAGTGTACATGCTCACA